GTGTTTTTTTTTTTTCTAAGTTTTAATCAGAAACCTCGGATCAAAATGGAGAGGTTCTCGAGTTGAACGCAATATTCGAGTCTGACACCGGAGCTCAATCAATCAACGATGTCATCAATTTTTATACAATTAACGTGTATATTTATGTGTAGAACAGCGCAGCGATGTGGAGAACGAGGAGATCGTCTTTCTTAAGATTGTAAAGCGATTAAATTAGATGCGCATTATAATAAACACGCGCTGATATCAATATTTCGGTCGATATCGAGTTTCATGATGCGTACAATTCTGCACAAAGTCTCCACAAAGCTGCGAACTGGTCGTAATATTTAAAACTTACGTATATTTCGATAAGGGTAATCGATCAACTACCACGATGTCGCAGGATCGTACCACGACAAAGACTCGACTTTTCGAACCTAGGATAAAGGGGGGAGGAGATAAAATTTCGTTAAATCTCTGAAAATTCGTCATCTCTCGAAAAATATACTCGGCACGACCGAATTTCGCGATGTCGCCGAAATCTCCATTTATTTTCTACTGCACTTCGAGAGAAATGTCGTGTCCCTCGTAATCGCGATCGAGCGGTTATAAACACGAGCCCATATGTATCATATATATATTTACAGATTAGATATAAATATTTCCTAATATATCTCAAATCTCTGTCCCACTTACGAGATAAAGACAGATTAAAAATAGTAGAGCCAATTCGAGCCAAAATGTGTGAATAAAAATCATGATTTTATCAAATGGTAGACGAAATAAGTACTTTATTCGCAAACCTTTCTGATATAAGAGATACATCTTAGAAGGACTTTTAAATTTCCGCGAGGACTCTATGTGATTTTTTTTTTTTAAATAAGATCCTAACGATAGAAATAGATGAGGTAAGATTAGAAGGTGGTAGAAAATGCTAAGGAAATATATATATATATATTGAAGATTTCTATTATGTTTGATGATAGAATAAAAGGGCACATATTAATTTATCGAAAGAATGATAGCGTCTTACGCCCAATCGTGCTTAACTATCATTTACAGTGTCTAACATCATTTACATCAGTTAGAAATGTTCATATCTTGTTTTGCCGCTAAAAGAGATCTTTCTTTTTTCCAGTGGAAAAGTGGAAGATCGTAATTCGTAATGCGTTCTTCGTTCTCATCATGCGCATCGTCGACGGGACATCGTCGACGTTGCTACATTTCTTATATCATTTCTTTCTTGACATAACACGTTGTCTCGTATCTTTTTTTTTTAATTCATCTGTCTAAGTTGTTCCGTAAAAATGTTGATTTTTATAAAACTTCTATCCATCGATACGTTTGTCAAACTGACAAGATCGGACATGAATTGAGCAAGTAATCGGAAAAAACGCTATCGGATAAATCGCAGATGAAAAAATCGTGGAGAAATATAATCGCCAAACTAAATGTCATAAAGATCTCAACTTACTATGATAGCTGTACATATTTTTTTCTGTTCGACATGCAATAGAAAAGATTATCTAAAATTTATACACTTGCCAGTCAGTTATAATGGGACAATCAGAAGAACTACGTTTACGAAATACGTTTGTCGCTAAATATTAAAGATTACGTATCATTTATACTGATAATGACATTGTATGTCGTAATAACGTGGCAAAATTAAAATATGCACAGACATAAGGAAAATACTGCGCATCTCGATGACGTTGATATTAAATTATTA